TAGCGACCCAGGCCTACCGCTAGCAGATATTGTCCTCTTTGAGCTTTCCCTTTCGGGCTTCCCCTCAAAGTTTTCAAAACGCGTCTACTAGGGAAAGGTTTCTACACTCTTATAAAGGGTGTTTCGTTCTCCTCCCCAACCAATGTGAGATATCACAAATCCACTATCGTGTGTCATTAGAACTCTGATGAAATGGAGCATTGGAAGAATAGATAAACAAAATTCATGAGTTCCCACCAGAGACAATCCACAGAAGTAAAGACAGAAATATGCATACCCAATCAAGATTGCCTTTTCAGCTCCTAAGAATCCGATGAAATACAGAGTAGCAAGGACTGAAAACGCCATGCTGTATGGATTTAGAGGTTTTGTGTCGTTCGTACCAGCAGAAGAATGCCCCAAATAATCTTCCCTTGACGTCAATCCAAAAGCTGGTCGATCAAACGCCAGTACTTTGGAACCAGTAATATCAGCTAAAGGCTTCATCACCCAATTCCATGAGAAAACAGAAGCTCCAAAGCCATGCAAGAGAATCATAGGAAGACCAATCTTGTTACTTCGATGAGGAGTCGAAGTTGTTGGCAGAGCAGGACTTGGATCAGGGGTTAGGGTTGGCGTTCGAGTTTGATATAAGGAGTCCCCTTGTAATTCCGGATCATAAACCTTGTAATGTACTTCCAAACCATTAAACTTACAGAAGCAACTATCAGGATCAGCCAGAGTTGTAGGTTTCAACAATTCTTCTTGATCTACACCAGCTATTTTCCTTCTCTGTTTAGCTTTGGAATCATACACTTGCTCTGTAGATCCAAAGAAATCACCCATTGAACATCTGTGTGCGCATCATTAGCAAAATCCAAGGTAGAAAATTGGGGAACAAATTGAAAATTGTTTGCAAATGGTTAGAACAAATTTTTAGAAAAACAAGGTCATATGTTCAATTTTCTACGTTAGTCTGTGAAATTCCCCAGAAAATGTCATAAAAGTTCGGTTTCTACAGAACTATGCAAACATGGTGATTCACCAACAATGCAGAAAGCATACAGAGAGTATTCAGCATCGGAACCACCGACGGAAAGCATAGTTACAGACATCGAAGTCCAGAAGAAATGAAGAAGGCAAGTAAATTACCAGAGTATTCAGCATCGGAACCACCGACGGAGGAAGAAGAAGAAGCAGCAGCGGAAACAGAAAGAGGAACGCGAGCGATTGAGGAGCTACCTCGCGCAAAACTGTTGTTCCTCTGAATCCTTGAACCGCCATTGATGTCTGCACGGAAATGCAAGCAGAACAGAGCAGGGGAAAGGGAAGGAGAAAGCACGTGCCCGAACATCAAGAGCAAATGACTCGACCCGATCCAGCCGAAATAATCGAGAGACGTGCCGTATAAAGCGTAATCGTCTAATGGCACATTTTATCTCTCTTAAGACGACAGCATTAAAATCTTGGTCCTCCACATATAGGTACTAGCTTAGGGTTTGAGAATTAAATTGAGCTTACAAAATGGAAGCACTGGTCTGTAGGAAGCTCGGAGATCCAACAACATCGGTGCCCAGCGATGATAATTCTCCGGTGGTGCTGAGTAAAAATCATCCGATTCCGACGTTGGATTCTCCGACGTCGGTCAGAGTTCAGATTACAGCTACAAGTTTGAATTACGCCAATTACCTTCAGATTCTAGGGAAATACCAAGAGAAGCCTCCTCTTCCTTTCATCCCTGGTTCTGATTACTCTGGAATCGTTGTTGCTGTTGGCTCCAAAGTTTCCAAGTTCCGAGTCGGAGATCGCGTTTGCTCCTTCGTTGGCGTCGGTTCTTTTGCTCAATTCGTCGTTGACGATGAGTCGCGACTGTATGTTCTTTCTCGCCATTGGCCTCCTTTTCTTACGTCTATTGCTACAGTCATGAATTTGCGCTGAAGCATATCTCTTCTCTGTTTGACCTTTTTTCATAAACAAACTGAAGATTCCGAGTACCTGATGGATGCGATCTGGTGGCCGCTAGCGCACTTCCGGTTGTGTTCGGGACCTCGCATGTTGCCCTTGTACACAGGGCCAAGCTGGCTCCTGGACAGGTTTTTTTCTTCTCTCTGGTTCAGATGTGTAAATTTGTTGGCGTCTTCCATGGATTCATCTCTAAGCACAAAAAGCTGAACAAAAGTAGCATTTGTACATTAAATTTTGGATAGCAATCTAAACAAAAACAAATGAATCAGATAAGAAATTGGAGGAAGCGATCTTATTCGTAATGGTGTCCTCAAATTCTTGTAGAAAGGCAAAATATTCTTAGTACCTGAACAAATTTCTTTGCACCATTTTTCTGCTTCTCTAGCAAACATTTTGAGAATTAAGGTATTTCTGAAACATCCTTTTTAGATTGATCCACGAATGCTACTTTTTCAATCAATCAAGTCCTCGGGATGCAATCGACCATGAAATTTTGAACGTCTACTTTGATCCCCGGTCTCCTTTTTGCGTTGTCACGAGAGTAGATAGCTCTCTTTTGAACTTCATTATTAGTCGTTGTTCACATGAGAGGTACAAATTTCTCTTTTGGCTCAAGTTCAATAGCCACATGCCAGCATTTGTTCTCAGATTGTTGTGTTCTCAAATATCTAGACTTGTGGATGGAGTATCATCTTTAAACATTGGTAACGCAATAGTTCATGATTATAAAATGAAAATTTATAGGTACTGTTGGTTCTCGGGGCAGCTGGAGGCGTCGGCCTAGCTGCTGTTCAAATCGGTAAGGTCTGCGGTGCAGTTGTTATTGCAGTTGCTAGGTAAACAAGTATTTCATAAATCAACCATCAACTCTGTCCAAAATTTCTTCTGTTATTTCCTGGTCCCCTTTCACCTACTCAAACAAGGTTATGATACAGCATATAATGAGATCTATTCCCTGCATTGCCTTTCAGGGGAGCTAAAAAGGTAGAGTATCTCCGGTCCTTGGGCGTCGACCACGTAGTAGACTTAAATCATCAAAACGTCATTGAAAACGTGAAGGCCTTCCTCAAGGAAAGAAAACTTAAAGGGGTTGATGTTCTGTATGATCCAGTTGGAGGAAAGCTGACAAAAGATTCAATGAAACTTCTAAATTGGAGCGCAAACATTCTTGTGATCGGGTTTGCGAGCGGGGAGGTCCCTGTTATTCCCGCAAATATAGCCCTTGTTAAGGTAACCCTCTTTTTGTTTTCCTTCTATCACCATTTACTTTCCCATGTTCAATCTTTTTATTACAATATGAGCAGAACTGGACGGTGCATGGACTTTATTGGGGCAGCTATAGTATGCATAGACCCCAAGTTCTTGAAGAATCTATGAATGAGTTATTATCCTGGTTATCGAGCGGATTGATCCGAGTTCACATTTCTCATATTTATAGCCCACTAGAGGTGAGTAACCTTTGAGCTTACTTCAATTTGCCACTGCATTAGATTCTAATGGTTTTTTTTTTTTTTTTTTCACTAAAGGAGTGTTTCATTCTTTGGAGGATTCACTATTTCTCCTCTCTCACACACATTATGTTGATGATTGTAATGCTGCATCTGAAGTTAGTTTGAGTACCGTAGAATCTACTTTTAAGCCTATGGAAACGAGCTACTGGTTCATAAATTGTGAAATCTCACGTTGGTTGGAGAGGGAAACAAAGCATTGCTTATAAGGGTGTGGAAACCTCTACCCAACATATGCGTTTTAAAAACCATGAGGGGAACCCGAAAGGGAAAGCCTAAAGCTGTTTTTGTTGGAGCTAAGATCTTTGAGTCTTAGCTCACCCGTAGTTGAGTCTAGGCATTATTTATCTTTTTAAAGATTGGAGGTTGAAATCTTCTCACAATGTGTCGTTCGAGAGTCGAAAAAGTGTACTTAGCTGACATGTAACGCACTATCTTTCGTGTTCAGTGTCGGATTATCTTCATGGTAAAACGAATTGACATACTCATCTGATTCTTTTCACAGGCCAACCTTGCCTTTTATGCCATCAAGAACAGAGAAGCTGTTGGGAAAGTAGTGTTGGTATTTGAAGACAAGACCATGAAATCGAAGCTGTAAGGGATTGAACAGGGATATGAGGAGGAAATGGTAACCATAATTTTCTGAAACTCAAGCTTTCCTTTTCTTTACTTGCTGAAATAAGTAGACTTCGAAAATTGTAAACTCAAGCTTCCGTTTTCCAAAGAAATAAGGCTTTGAAACGTAGAAGAAAAAGCCCATTGTGTATTTGATTTTTTTAAAAAAAAACACATCTGTTTGATGCCCAATTCCTTCAACTTAAAGGGGTTGTGAGTAGTTTCTCCTTCTTTGTAATATTTTAGAATACAACAAATAAGAAAACATTGATTAAATGAGATCTTTAAAGAAATTAGTACATTCGAGAGAGTTTTCTCGACTAAAATGTGTATCTATTATACTCATAATACATATTCGACACTATTTGGAGCTTCCCATGCTTGCTTGTCCCGGTTTTCAATGTGAACAGGTCCATGTCAAGCACTATAGGCTAAATATGACAGTTATTTAATGCGCATGATTCTTATCGTTAGCATACATGACGTTGACAATGGATGGATTTGAGAAATTTTTTGAACTCATTCAAAATTTTGGGGAGTTTCTAATCTAACCATTTATTTTCTAATTGGGCTATATTGGAATGTGAAACTTGCTTATTAAAATTTCATAAAAATTCGATAGAAATATTTTAAAGTCACGTTAATAACATTGGTTACAAATGTCATATATTATTAATCTTTATAATAGTCTTAAAAATAAGGTAGAGTTGAGTTGAGTTGTAACCTTAATTTCGGGTTGGTCGGGTTGACCAGATAAGAAAATGTAACTCGTGAGCCCATCCAAAATTTTAATTTTTAAAAGTTCAATTATATGAACAAGCTTATTTTAAGTTTGGGTACATTTTTGCTATATACACCAATTTTTTCATATATAAATCTTCTTTTATTATTTGTGGGTTGGGCTTTCCAAAATGGCGGTTTGGCCCTCCGTAGCCTTTTCATATATAATATAAATTAGGTTTTTTTTAAGAGGGACTTGCGGACGAGGTCAAGTTTGAGTAGAGAGGGACGAGATAACGCGCGCCCGCCATGGGGAGAAGTACGTAAATCCTTTCGTTTCTTCATCTAATACCTTCTTCCATGTTTCTCTCTGACTTGTATTTCGCAATTCTTGTGTTTTCCTCAACTTAAAATGTAGGATACAAATTAGTCGTCGTTTTTCTGCATGCAATCTGATAATAACAGTTAGATTTTGAGGAAAGTTATGGTCTATCAGCGACCAGAGTCATTTTATAGTCGACAGCACATTATACTGCTGGAAATGGAAGAATTTCTTCTAGTTCCGATTGGAAGATGTTGTGATTTAATCCTTTATGTAGTTTATCAAGATTTTTACGATGTTTTTTTTAGCAGAAGGGCAATATGGTGCTGATTTTGCAATCGGCATTCAATCACTCATGTCAAATCAATGAATTATCGTGTAGTGTTAGCATCTATGTACCTCGCGCCCTTACTAATTTTCAAGTTAGACAATAAATGCACGGACTGGGGTTTTCTATATACATGAAGGACTACTATTATTGTTTTTCTTTATTCGCTTTTCAGTTGTGACTGCTTATTATTTAATAGGGTGCATTTTCTCGCTTGTCAGAGTATGTAAAATAAATTTGTGCGGACATCCTCCCGATACCCATGTATGAATGGTCACAGTCCTGAATAATTTTTGTGTCAACTCATTGATTATAGTTTGATCTTGATAATTCTGTGCCGGCTCTACTTTACCTACAAGGTTGTTGCATGTTATTCATTACCTTGCATGCTTTATTATAGGACCTGCTAGGTGTTACCGGCAAATTAAAAACAAGCCTTATCCAAAATCCAGATTCTGTCGTGGTGTCCCGGATCCTAAGATCAGAATTTATGATGTTGGAATGAAAAAGAAGGGTGTGGATGAATTTCCGTTTTGTGTTCACCTAGTAAGTTGGGAGAAAGAAAATGTGTCAAGTGAGGCTTTAGAAGCTGCTAGGATTGCCTGCAACAAGTATATGTCTAAGTTTGCTGGGAAGGATGCTTTCCACTTGAGGGTCAGGGTGCACCCCTTCCATGTTCTGCGAATTAATAAGATGCTTTCATGTGCTGGGGCTGATAGGCTCCAGACTGGTATGAGAGGTGCGTTTGGCAAACCACAGGGAACCTGTGCAAGAGTGGCCATTGGTCAGGTTCTTCTTTCAGTTCGCTGCAAGGATAGCAACAGCCAACATTCACAGGAGGCTCTCCGTCGTGCTAAGTTCAAATTCCCTGGTCGTCAGAAGATCATTGTCAGTAGGAAGTGGTATGCCTCTCCTGTTGTTTAGTGCTTTTTGTTGCTTGTGGAGTTATGGTTAAAACGTTACCATTACGGTTCTTAGTGACTGAATGACATTATTCGACTTTCCTTTTTCAGGGGATTCACTAAATTCAGTCGGGCTGATTATCTTGCTTACAAGGCAGATAACAAAATTCTTCCAGATGGTGTTAACGCCAAGGTAAGCTATATTGCATTCTGCCAAATGCTTGCTTTCCTGTTGTATAAATTGTTCGAACGTCTTGGATTTTTTCCATTTGTAAGCACAAGAATAGATTTCGGTTTAGCTATGATTACAAGACTATACATTTATTTTTCGTTCTTTAATATGAATTTAGATTCATTAAAAAGCATCTGTCGAGCATCGATATTCCTTGCATGCATGCTATAAAAGTTATTTGGTTGGGACGTGAGTTGTGGGATCATGTTCCCCGGAGCATGGGACAATGATTTTTGGTTCTTCGTCACTAAGAAAGTCTGATTACATACATCCTTCTGTAACTACAGTATTCCTTTCCTCATATTTTGGTTCTTCATCACTGATTAAGCACAATTACAGCCTTTTTTTCTTCCCTTATATCTCAGTGGAAGAGCTTTTTGCAACTCTCCTTGATAGGACCCGGTCTTCTGTGATCATTTAATATCATCACATAATGTTCTATGTTTCCTATCAGAACGAACAAAAAGATGAAGCACGGTTGCATAGTCGATATGTTTATTTTGTTACTTCCTATTTGTTGCTGATCGAAGCGCAACTGGTCTTTTCAGCTTCTTGGATGTCATGGACCTTTAGCAAATCGTCAACCAGGAAGAGCTTTTCTACCTGACACTGCCTAAGATCAGCTAGTTGTTTCAATTTTTCATTGCTATTCTTATACGATTTTGACACTTCAACAAGTATTTACTCTCATATCTTGTTTGTATTATTCTGGCAGTTTTATTGGTTAAGAATGTTGGAAATACCAAGGGTCGGGTTCCAAACAAGTTCATTTCACTCCAGCGATGAATTTTACTTCCAAGTATCAATACATGTAAATCGTTTTAAAAGATGTCAAATTAGCGGTTCACCACTTGAATATGATATTGAACCAATCTAATTTTACTAACTATAACCATTTTAATTGGCCTAAAAATAACTTCTGGATTGGCAATTAGATGACTATGATAAATTAGATAAATTAAGTAAGAATTACTTGGAACGTATATGCCAAACCGTTATTAAGGATGGTCATAATGTGGGAATTTGCATTTTTATGCACTTCTGTTCGCCTATTTGGTAATTGATGAACCGAACCAAGTGGCTACGGTTGGTTCTGTTCAAAACCGGCCCGGTTTGACTGATTCTGCGAGGGAACTTTTTATTTTTCTTCTATTCGCTGCGATCGTCTCCCCTTCTCTGTGTTGTATCCAGTTTTTGCTTGGACCGTACTCAAGAACTTCACTGCAAGCTCTCCTGCAACGTTCGCAATCTCTCCCAGGTCTTCATGCTTTCCAAATTCTCTAAACCCTCTAAAAGGGTTCTTGAGGGTCTTCTCGACCTCAGGATCAGACTCCATTTCAGTCATCATCCGGTCAGTTCCTCCAATGGCCGCCCCCTTCTTCGAGATCCAATAATCAGAAATTCCTTCTCATCTTCCTCCTTCCAATCGAAATTCTCTTCGAACCCCATCTCTTCAAATCCTGGTCTGTCCCAAATCCTCTATGCTCCCAAGGTCACTGCCGGGAATTCTTCTGTTGCTACTAAATTGAATGCCTATCGTTCTGCTTCTAGGTTTAGATTCTTCTCTGTTAAGACTCCAGGTTTTGGGGGTCAAATCAATGGTAATTTTGCTAAGAAGGTCCTTGATAAGCCCGCTGCGGCTGTTCGTTCCGCATTTTCGCGGTACCGCGAAGCCATAGGGTTGCAAATTGAGGCTTTCTTCAGGAGAAACTATCTAGTTCTACTCGGGTTTGGAGCAGCTTTAGTTTGTGCATTGCTCTGGAGGATTATGTTCGGTATTGCGAACACCTTTGTTGGCATCTCTGAAGGCATGGCCAAGTATGGATTTCTCGCTTTATCTTCAGCAATCGTTGCTTTTGCTGTGAGTTTTCTCTTTAATCTCTTCGCTCCGTGTTACCTTCACTTTCTAAGAAGAACATGATTTTTGATCCCTTTGCTTGCGCTGCTAATGATTGAGTTAAGATTAAGATCATAAACTATCCTTTTGCTTACGCAGAGATTGTTTTTCCCTATATAAATCCAGAATCTATTTGTTCTTGGGTTGAGACCTAGATTTATTGTTCATCATGACCTTTTCTCCTCACTCCAGTTTGTGAAAATTGAATGTTACAGCTATTTTTCTGTATGAAGAATTATATGATACTCTATGGATTATCAATGTTGAATGTTATCTACCCTTTTTCATTTCAAGGGCCTCTATATGCGTTCTAGATTCACAATTAATCCTGATAGAGTTTATAGAATGGCCATGAGAAAGCTCAATACATCAGCAGGAATTCTTGAGGTTATGGGTGCCCCTCTTACAGGATCAGACTTGAGAGCTTATGTTATGTCAGGAGGAGGGTTAACTCTGAAGAACTTCACGCCAAATCATAGGAGCAAGCGGTGCTTTCTTATTTTTCCCATTAGAGGCTCTGAAAGGAAGGGTCTAGTCAGTGTTGAAGTCAAAAAGAAGAAGGGCCAGGTTTGCTTTTATGCTCGCCACTTGTTTTATACTTCAAATATCATGAAGTTGTTGCATCTTTTGAACCTTGAAGAATCATTTTGGTATTCTTCCTTGACGTGAAACTATATATGAATTCATTGAATTTCTGGATGATCATTATATATTTATGAGTTTTTTCTTGTGGAGAAATATCTATTTTGGCTTCTCTCATTGTTGTTACCTTGTTGTGAATGCCTGTTAATTCATGATGCATCAAGAGGTTATAAGAATGCACATTACAAGAACATACCCGTTTGTTGTAATTTGATTTCTCAATAGATCTTTGGTAGGCAGCTGAAGTGGATACCTGAGTTAGTTGACAGAGATTAGCTGCTGACATTGGTTAGTTCGAGTGTTGAAATGTGGTGTAAAAGGTTTGTTGACCATGAATTAAAAGTTATGACGGATATGGTGAGAAAATTATGCAAATATAGGGCTAGAGTTGTGCGAAAGAGAGTCATCTCAACATGCCTTGCATGCATCTCAACCATTCTCGTGGAAGAACTGCTTGATCCTACTATATTTAAGTTGACAAGTAACTTGTACTATATTAGATTTTAGGTATATGGTTACGTGAGATCCCACGTCGGTTGGAGAGAGGAACGAAACATTTCTTATATGGATGTGGAAACCTCTCCCTAGTAGACGCGTTTTAAAACCGTGAGGTTGATGATGATGTGTAATGGGCTAAAGTAGACAATATCTGCTAGCGGTGGGCTTAAGTTGTTACAAATGTTATCAAAGCTAGTCATCGAGCAATGTGTCAGCAAGGACGCTAGCCTCCAAGCGGGGTGGATTGTGAGATCCCACGTCGATTGAAGAGGGGAACGAAACATTCCTTATATGGGTGTGGAAACCTCTCCCTAGTAGACGCGTTTTAAAACCATGAAGCAAACGACGATACGTAATGGACTAAAGCAGATAGTATCTTCTAGCAGTGGGCTTGGGCGGTTACAAGTTATTATGGCTTGAACCTGTTCTCTCAATCTCATTTGCTAATGGGCGTTTTACTGATCCTTATGTCAACCCATGATAGTTGAGATGTGACCATTTCGTAAGAGTGGCATAGGTTCACCTTAAAGAGATCCATTTGTGCAAGATGTTATAGGTTCACCTTAAAGAGATCCATTTGTGCAAGATGTTGACCCATGATTTAGAGTCGCAAACAAGTGTAGAATATCAGGGGAGATCTGTATCAATCACAGATTTTCCTTTCTTCAAACAATAGACCATTATTAATTTTCAAGAAATCAAGTTATATTTATTAGTTGTGAAGTTTATAATGAAGAACAGTTCTCCTCATCTTAATGCATGGTATTGTCTTTATTTACAGTATGATATGAAGCTTCTGGCAGTTGACATTCCCATGGCATCAGGACCCGACCAGCGGTTATACCTGATCGGAAACGAAGAAGAATACAAAATAGGTGGAGGGTTGATTTCTGAGCTAAGGGACCCTGTTGTAAAAGCCATGGCTGCTACCAAGGAATTTGATGATCTTGACCAAATAGAGGAAAAGGAAGATGCAGAGAGAGAACTTCAAGAGGCAGAGAAAAAGCACCAAGAAGAGATCGAAAAACTCGAGAAAGAACGATAAGCTTTTCTTGTTCTTCGATCTTTCGTTGTCTTCACATCAATTCTTTGGAGCTGTTTCGAGTTTCCAGCCTCATCTTAGAACAATCTAACTTGGTGTTATTAACCCCAAATCTGTATCTTCTTGGAAATTTTCAAGGTTCGCTGTGCAAGACTTCGTTGAATTCTGAGTTTTCAGAAGGATCGTAGCGGGAAGTCAGTTGAATAAAGCTTGCACAACATATTTTCTTGCCTCTGATTTTAACTAATTTTTAGTATTTAATATTTAATTTAGTTATGCCCACCCTATTATCATAAATAAAATAAAAAATTTTAATATTCTATCATTTAAAAAAAAAAATTAGACATTAATATGATCTTTAGGAACAAAATTTATAATTTAAAGTTTAATTTAGATATATAATTTGTTGCCATGTTTAGGAATTAAATATTTAATGTTTAATTTAGTTATAGGCAAACTATTTAGCATAATTAAAATGATTAATTTAGTTATAACCAACCAATTAGCATTAAATAAATTATTTAAAATATATTAAGGGGGCAAAAAGGATGAAGCAATTTTCTCCCGCCAGTTCTTAGTATAAATAGGTTTAGCATTGCCTGAATCCACAAATCTCTTTTTCAAATGTTCGCTCTCTTAACAGATTTGAACCTAAAAAAAAATTGGAAGAGTCTCTAATTTTTTATTTAGTGGATCGATAGAAGCTGTATTCATCCGATCGTTACAGGTGGAGGTTGATCTGTATTCTGATCCCTCGCCGCAAAAATTGGCTTGTTCTTCTCGATAATTTTCCCTCTGCTCTCACATTCCTTGTTCTCCTTCAACCAATGCATTTCAGCCTTAATTAGAAGTTTTTTTCTCGAAATTTTCGTTTTCGTCTTCGTCCTCTTCCTTCTCTAGGCGCTGCTTCTCCTGAAATCTCAGGATCGGCTTCAATGATGAGTTGTACAAGATGCTGAATCAACGCTATCCCAAGGTAATGATGATCTGTCCATGTTTTCGCACTTCTTTTGGTTCTGGTAGTCGAGATTCTGTCTGGAGAGAATAGGGAGGTGTGTTGATTCGATTAAATCTAAAATTCGTAAATATGATAATTCCTTTACGCTCATTGATAATGATCCATGCGTATTGTTTTTCTTATATGTTTTTGCTCTCTCTGATTCCGTATCCTTTGTTGAATATCTGCATCTCATATTTGCTTCTGAGGTGCAATGAAATCTCTGCTTTGATGCTATGCGGCCATTGCCATGATGGATTCCCCAGTTTTCTCTGTAAATTTCGAAGAGAGACCGTTTGAGAGCTGTTTTGGAAACGGTTCTTTTTCGTATTTATTTCCAAAGTTAGTTTTAGGATTGTGATTTGAAAGATTTATAGGAACTAATGCATCGACATCGAGATCTCTATCCGTGATTTTGGAGGATAACTTTATTTTATTTTTGTAAAACCGATCATTTCTGGAAACACACTTTACGAAAAGAAGAAAAGCAATTTTGAGAAATAGTTAACGAAAATACTTTTTCCTTCAAACAAGAGGAATGTTAGACTAACAGTTTTGGGATGATCCATTGGTTTCAGTTTCTCATCACCATTTCACTAATAGATAAAAGAGAAGGTAGTTTTTATCTTTCAAGTCTATTAGAACAAAAATAGTTAACAGGCATAAAACCTGTACAATCAACCTAAAATGTTTGAATCTCTCGCCTTACATATTATTGAATTATATATATATATACAAATTCTTTGTTCCATATCTTTGTTTCCATGAAAAAAATGAGAGTTAATTCGAAATTGTTTCTTGTGAAGTTCAGGTTTTAGAATTAGATCTTAGATACGAGAAACAAAGGAAAATGTCAGTTCTCCTATGAAAGATTAGCTCAATTGGTTACCTCCTAAAGAAGAAAGAAAATCCTTCGACTTTGTTGAACTTAAAAAAAAAATGTAACTATTATAATGACAACAACGGATGCATCAACTGCTAGGACATCTTCCTCCTTTCACCATCCTTTCACGTCTTAAGGCCACGGTCCAAAAAATTATTGGTTTGACTTGACTTCATTCTCTAGCTTAAAATCGGTGAGCAAAGAGAATGGGAACATGACTTTTGCTATTTGATGTTTCCATGTTTAGGATTTCGTGATCTTGCATTAGATACCAATATATTTTTGTTTCTTGCTCTTGCTTCGTAAAGGCATACTTTGTTTGTGTTTGAAGGTATTTTACCTTTCTTGCGAGGTTAGTTTACGAATGACTAATCCGTTGGATTTTAAAGCAAAAATATATCATCTTATGAATGGGAATCTACCTATGCCCTCCTTGTCTCATCTTAAGAATTTTTATCATATAGGGCTAGAACAAAAATGACAATTGCACAAAGCAAAAGGAAAAAGAAGTTCAAAATAGAGTTTCGTGAAAACTTGAGCAAAGTGTAAGGCTTTTTTCTTCAAGTTTCCAGTGCAACTGATTGCAGGTTCCATTGGAAAATGAATTAAGATCTAATCTTACATGTATTCTCGACTGATACATATCATGCAACTTAACAGGTGTACTGTTTGGAAACGACCTTAATTTTTTCAGACAGAGATTCGATTTTGCATTTTCAATGGGAAGCTGCTGGACTAAGGTAGGCCTCGCTGGCAATTTATCTTTTATATTATGTTTTCAAGGTCTTGATTTCTCGTATAGTGTTCTCTGCTTTATTTTGTTTGCTAGCCTCGCAGTTTCTGGCATGCGTTTTGTACATTTTATTTTTATTCATCAAGTTCATGGTCATCATGGGTCCACATAACCAAGTGGAGGTTTGAAAATAGCACTTCGCTTCTGTAAATTCTTACTTGTTCAGAATCATACGAGTCCACTAAATTTTCAGAGGATCAAATTTTCTCTCTTTCAAATATCATAATATCTGAACTCTCTCTTTCACATAGATCTTTTAAATAAATCTACTTTAAAGAGATTTATCCTGAAAATTTTATTCGAAGTTCCACTGCTCCATGTCTGCTAATGGTCAGTATTGACTTATTCCACTTTCCCTCATTTACATGATCAATGTTAGAACCTTAGATGATAGTGTTACAGTGGTAGTATCCAAGTTCTCATCCTTAAGACCCATCCTCTGAAAAATTATTGGACATGAACATGATCGTATTCTAATTATTAGATGTATGATTAAACCATACTTTTTAAGTTCTGTGTCATATCTCCAACGGGATAATGGTAAATGATTCTGTTTCAACCTAATCAAATAATTTTTCCATCTACTGAGTTACATCCACACTTGACATTTTGCAGCTTTTCAATAGCGATCAGAAAGACAATGCCGTCAAGGAGCAAGTTGATAGCAAAAACGTACACCTCATTACCTCGATTGAGAAGTGGGAGGCGAAGCTTTCGGAAGCAACTAAAGATGGCAAAATTGTAAGTTTCTCCCTCACTTGTTCGTGGTGAAGAAAAATATACAGAGTGTTTTATGTTTAAACTATGCAACAGGTTGTTGCAAATTTCAGTGCACCATGGTGTAGACCTTGTAAATCCATGACACCAGCATTTTGTGAGCTTGCTGATAAGTATACTTCCATGGTATTTTTGGCCATTGACGTCGACGAGCTAGCTGTGAGTAAATCCATCTTTTGGTTACCCTTTCGTTTATTTATATAACTGTGAATATGAATCTAGCTAGCTCTCCACTGACGGAGTGTTCTTATCCATGACCTCACACTTTCATTTTTACAGTTCGTATGGCTTTTGTTTCTTATTTCTTCACTCTCATTTTCTGTTTTTCGTTCGTTTGTTTGTTTTTGTTTTTGGAAAAAGAAACATAAGAATTATTTCTTGATTTTTGTGTTTTTAATTGTATATAGTTGTGTTTGGTAACTATTTTTTTATTTTATCCTCTAAAATTTCAAAATTATCATGTTATATTTTACTTTTGATGTAGTAAACATTTTTTTTAATAAGAAATGATAAATTAGTATGTGTTTAAAAACTATAAACAAGAAAAATATGATACTAGAAACTATAAACAAAAAACTAATTTTGGGAATTTTCTTCTGTTTTTCTTTTTTCAAACTAGAGAGATTTTGATTGGTGGACGACATATATTTTAATTTATTGAGTTAAAAAGAGAAACAAAGAATTGAAAACATTACAAAAAAAAAGTGTCCTAAATCCTAATTTAAATTGATAATGGTATAGTTTATTGTATAGTACGGTGAGTTTTAGAAGTTTCTTAGACTGAGGTCGGGTGAGGTGGGTTTTTTTTTTAATTTTAATTTTATTTATTTTGCAGGAGCTCAGTAAATCGTGGGACATCAAAGCCACTCCAACATTCGTGTTCTTTAAAGATGGTCGCCAAGTAGATAAATTAATAGGAGCTGACAAGTCAGATCTGCAACAGAAGATAGCTGCCATGGACGAGGCTTGATACTTTTTCTTCCCCATTCACTGATACATAATAGAACACCGAAAGCACAATACAAATTCCCATAACAAAACAACAAGGAAAACAAAAAGAAAAAAACAAAAAAAAGTGCATTAGAGGGAGGAATTCTTTTGTGCTTTCTTACCCAATTTCAGTGAGAAATTCGTTCCATGCTCAGAGGATAAGTCATCATTCTTTATGGTTCCTTGCTTGCAAGAGAACACGATGTACTGCTGTCAAATGCATAATTTGAAACAATTACGAAGCACTATATAATTGTAGTTTTATTGTTGAATCACAAGAATTTTCAGATGTTCTTATTTTAGCATAAGAGAGAGAAAGAGAGTGAAAATGAAAAATGCCCTCTTCCTCCCCTTGTTTAGTTACATGCCGCCGTTGAGGAGGCGGCGGCAGCAGCAGCAGCTTTTACGAGCAAGCCGAAGAGCAGAGAGGGGTTGGAGAAAAAGGGGCTGTGATCAGTATCCATTTCATATACGATTTCGGGCAGCCATTCCCTTATCATCGCCTCTTGTTGCTCTGGTTTTATTACTCGATCGTACGTTGTTCTTATATACACTCGTTTCACCCTATCCAGCTCGCCGTTCTCCTCCCTAAACCGAGCGGTCCTTAATGCGAGGATTGGCCCTGGCCTCAATAGCATGGAGGCCAGTGTCGAATCCTGAGAATCATTGATAACATCAAAACACGGGGTATCATGATGGGAGGTTAGATACAATTGCTTCTTAATTCATGGCATGTTTGTTTGGGATGGCATGTTCAAAATCAAATCAATTTTGGCAGCGTAAGATCAAATATTAAATAGATTTTGACTGGTCAAATGATTTTAAACGTTTTAGAACACTTTCAGGCATGTTTTTAGGATCAAATGCAATTACATTAAAAATCTCAAGGCAGGAAAGAATCTCGTGGTTGGATTTGGGGATGATTCCAAAACTAAGAAACTATGTTTATTATTATTTTTATTTTTGTGGGTTTAGGTACCTCGTGGGGACTCATGTGATAGATGATCTTTCGCTGGAGTTCCCTTTTGACGACAGCAGTGGTGGGAGGTTGTTGGGGTCCTTGTCCAAATCCTACGTCGTAAGCATCCCCAAACTCGGATAAATCTGGCACTCCCTGCACATTTGACCAAAACAAAAACAAAAGGTAATAATCATAACGGAAATGGTTAACTCGTTAATAATGATCTAATCATCTTAATCTTATATTATATAATATAATATAAGAAAAAGTAAGTAGAGACCGGCCCAACATATTATGTAGGACACGGGAAAATTTTACTCCCCTACTGCTTAGGGCGCGTGGCCCAATCTAGAATTGCAGCGGTTTTTATCCAAAAAAATAGTATCCCACCCTATCCCCTTCCTTTTCATTAGAGGGTAGCCTCCAATCCTTCCTTCTCACTCTCCCCTAAACAGCTCAAGTTCAATCAATCGTATATATCGGGAAATCCCGTGTATATATATTGCAATTTTTAGCCAAAAAAGATCTTCTATTGTTTCGCTCCTTCCTTCTTCATTAGGCCTCCTCCAAGGGTTTTGCTATGCCTTGGGAGTGTTTTCGGTACCAAAACTATTTCAAGGGGGTTGGTAGCAAATGAAAGGAAAGAGATAGGTGTGGGACGAGACTAGAGAGAGAGAGAGGGAAGGACTAGAGAGGTTAAGCTCAATGAGTAGGGAGAGAGGTACATTGACAGGGAAAGGAATCAAGGGTGGGGGCACTATTTCTTTGAATATAGAAAAAATAAAGAACTTGAATAAATAAGACATGTCAATTTTGGATTGGGGTAAATGGGCAGCAGCAGCAGGAATTCCTGTGTCCTATGTCCAATCAGAATCAGAAGGGGAAATAGAATGGCATTGCATTGTATTTTCCTTGATCATTAAAGAAATTAGGCTAATAAATGAAAATTTTGAGTGCACACGTGAGAACTGTGAACTTGTGAAACCTGTCGGCTCCTCTTGAGTCTTCAGCACACTATTACCTTCCGGACTTTGAGAACTCCAACTGGCCTTAACCTAATTTTGACTTTCTTTCGTACAAAACCACGGAAAATATTCCAAACACTGTTGCAGCATACAGAACATACTTTAATTACATCCTTATTTTTATATGCATAGCCTTAATATTCTTCTAATGGAATGTTTGTAATCTTGGATTACATTGATATAACCTATAACTAAAAATTAAATCTACCTATAAGCTATAATTAAAAATTAAATCTACCTATAAGCTATAATTAACTACACTTACTTAATTCTTTCTTTAAACAGAGTACATTGACTTTTTTTTTTTTTTTTACGGCCAAAAAGATTTTCATTAATTCTTTATAATATTCAACCTTATTAAAATTATTAGCAGACAATTTTATAATTTTTACAATCCTACCTTGCCACCTCATCTAAAAAAACACAACCTAGACACGAACAAAGATTTAATTTTCAGAAATATATGAAACTATTTTTCAAAAGATGAAAACTAAATGGTCAGATTTTTAAGCCAAGAAACTCAATTGAATTTTAATTCTAAACTCGGAAGTATTAAATTTAAAAATCAGAATTTAACTCTAAACTAGAGTTTGTATTTTCCTGTGGCTGTAGCACAGAAAATTTACACCACCAAAAAAAAAATCACCACACAAAGGGGGACATGTTCTTGGCTGCCTATGCGGTTCTGCGGTTCCACCGTACCGATTTACTTCAGGATAAAAATCACATCCAAGCAAGCTCAACTTCAAATTATCAATTATGTAATTTTTTTCCTTTTTCCCTTTCAACTCACAATTTAGGTACTATCGTTTTGCTTATGAATTACTAATCACTGACTATATAGAAACTATAAATGCTAATTTTTAAATGAATTGTAATAATCTAAAGGAAACTAGACCTAAATTATGGATTAACTTAAACGTAGCTTCTTTATTAATGCATCATTTTCGTATTTAAAAGGTTGAAAAAGAGTTTCTACTGACGTGGTGTATTTTTTTCTTTTTAAGAAAAAATTCCAAATTCATGTAACCTCCAATAAATAAAATGAAGTAACCGACACAATGAAAACTCACCTGAAATAAATTTTGCTACCAGAATTATTCAATATAATGGAATCGTTACTCAGACTATTATGAGTCAGAGTGAGAGGATGCCAATAGTCCTACAGTTAGAGGCGAAATGAAATGTTCAATTCAGCAACCAGCTGGCTGGTGGTTGTCCTTAATTCATTTTCCTAATTAGAAGACAAAACGGTTAGACTTAATTGATTGATGACTTTGAATAAATTGGCACTTAGCAGCCGGTGTTTTTCCTGCCTCATGCGATTTGCGATGAGAGCAAGAGCCTTCAATTCCACTAATGGCCAAAACTATTCACACGATTCACTATCATATGACCACCACCGGCCGGCGACGAGTTTCACAAGAACCTCGCCGATCGGCCGGCCAACTCGTAAAAAGGAACGCTGCACTAATACGCCTAGTTTTACTTCGATTAGGATTTGTAAACACACACACAAATTAAGGATGAGTTTATATGAATTAAAAGTAGTGAGAAGAAGAATTTGTTTACGTTTTTGATATCTTGATCAGTCTGGAAACCAAATCTCAGCATCGTCGCCGCCACATACACCGCCAAACGGATTTTCTTTGCGAATTTGAGCGTTGCTTGAGTAACACTTAATCCTCCGGCGCTATGTCCAACCAGAATGATCTGTAAAAATTTTCGACGATCTCTGAATCAATCAACTCCACTCGATCGTAGTCGATTGAGGAACAGAGACTTTCCGGCAAAGAAATAAATTAGAAACGACGAATAGATATTACCTGTTCGTTTTCCGGTAGACTGGAGACGAAATCGAGCAGAGGCTTATTGTAATCGTCGAATTTGACGACGGAATTCGGATCGGATAAATCAATTCCAGCGCCTTTAAGATCAATACAGGTGACTTTGAAGCCAGAATTCTCCATTAAGCACCTGATTTTGTACCAGCACCATCCTCCTCCACTTATGCCATGAACGAGCACGAAGTGCGGCGGTTTCTGCACTGCAACAGAGCCCACTGCACTTGGCGCCAGGTTTTCTTTCTCTCCCATGGCGCTCTTCAAATATTTACGAATTGGAAATCATGATTACAAATGTATGTGCGGGTATATATATATATAGAGATGTGCAGTTGAACTAGTCCTTGAAATCATTATATTGTTTTTTTTTGTTTCGGACCTTTCAGGATTTAATTATTTATATTTTATTGTTACTTTCAGTTCCACAAACGTTGAAAAAACTAGAGATTATAGACAAACGGCCTATGATGCAGTTTGATCATCATCATACACATCATGAAGCCATTGGACGGTTGAGATTTAATCCCAGCGATGACGGCCACCAAACAGTCTCCCTCATATTGAGCCCTCGTGTGTGCGGCTGTAGGGAATCACATTCTAGAATTTGTTAGCAAAAATAATATAATACAATGGAAGTTACCTTTTTTTTCCTCCTCCACACTGGATTTAATTTAGTATTTATATTTTTAATAAAATTTAAATTTGTCTTTTTTAAAAAAATCAAATTAGATTAAATAATTACCATAATTCATAAAAAAAAAAATTAATGTGAAAATGTATTTATATATTTATAAATGGAATGTTAATATAATTTTTTTAAACATATAAATTAATAACTATTTTCTTAATAAAAATCAACAAATTGAAGAATATATTATTATTATTATTATTATTATTATTATATCATTGAAAAAAGTGATGTAAAAAAAGAATTCACTTTATTGATAACCCTATCTGAGATCCACGTCCACTAAACCATGTGCAATACTGAGACGTATTTCTTAATAGTACAAAAAAAATTACCCAACTTAATTTATTAAATTAAAAATAAAATACCCTGAAATTTAGGGTAAATTTCAAAAATTCACATTTTACCCATTTTTTAAAACTTTTTCGGGAAGGAAATTATATAAAAAATTGGAAGACATGC